GCCAAATTTAAAACCAACAGTAGACAGCATTTCCTTATGCAAAGGGTAATGAATAATTGACAAGTTTCCACAAAAATGTGGTTATGGTTGAGGCGCAGAGATCCAACTCATTTATGAAACAGCGGTAGCAGCTGGCATTTGTTAGGTTATTGCAATTTTCCTCCACTTGGTTTCTGATTTTAGTTTTCCGATTACTGCGGTAGGAAGATACTGGGGGTGCATTTTAGAAAGATCGGATCAAACAGGTCCATCTTTTCTCAAACCTTCCCGTGAAAGTTAGTTTGGGTCAGTTTATAACACTCTCACCAAGACAAAAGCCAGTTTGTTCAAACAAGCTTTCATGATCGGCGAGAGAATCCAGGCTAACACTCTGGTGGAGTACTGCTGAAGTGCCGACCCACCAGTTTGGTATTTTGTGGTAGGAGGACAACAAATAAAGGATGAAGTGTTTATTAATGGCCAAATTTTGAAGACAGCACTGTGAAGGAAAACAGGAAGCATTTCAGTCAACGGTTCTCTCAATCACCATCATCAAAAATGAACGCCCTGTTAAGCCGATTTAATTGCTGTCAGCATGTCACATATTTATCGAGAGGAAACCATTACATTCCAAAGTTCCTAATTGTAAAGTGCTTTCAGGCAGCCCTGATGGGAAGTGGAAATGACAACATATATGCAAGTCTGCCTTTCTCTTCCTGGGAAAAAAATCAGTCTGACAGCACCAACATCCATTTTGTTCATCGCTTTCTTTCCTGTGCAATAAATGCAGGCCAGCAGGAAATTCCAGTTGCCTGAGTCACTTCCAACAATTCTTAAAAATAAATAAAAAGGGAATGTTGATAGTATTCAGCTCTCCGTGTGGTAACGTAGAAACGTACTTAACCATCCCATTGCTCAAGCTTGAAGTCATTTTGGAGAAAACCTGCTCCAGGGATTTTTCAGGACCCTTCTGATCAACCTGTCAAAAATAGATTAAAATATTAAACATATACATATTAAAACACATAAAAAAAAGTCTGCTTTATTTTCAAAGAGTTTTAGTATCAAGGCAAATAAAACATACCAAGTTAACTATCACTTGTTTCCCATAACTGATAAGCTGTGAATCAAAATGCCTTTGAAAGCCATCCATCTGAAATCAAAATTAAGACATTTACAATCTACTTCATCAAGAAGGAAGCAGTCTAAAGCAGCGAAAACCTAAGCAGTGCACGAAAGAGCTAAAACTGATCTCTATGGTTGCAGTGGTTATGATAGGACAAGCAGCATGACACAGCACAATAAAACCTCTTTCAAATTTCTACACTTACCATCTGGAGCACAGTTTGCTGCCCAGGTATATTCTGGAGAGAGTGAAAATGCCAGTTTCTGAGCAAAAGCAAATCACTTGCCCTAATTCTAATATTTAATATCCAATTGCTTAAACACCCATGTCTGATTTTAAGGCAACCAGGAAATAAATCTCTGCTTTATCACCAAGCCACTTTGAGAACAAAATGCCAACTGTCACTATATATTCCAGTCTTTAACCCATGCTAAATTATCTTAAAAAGTATGGCTTAAATGGCATGTTTTTGCATAGCTTAACAATGCTGTTTAGCTATACAAATTCATGCTTTGCAAGCAACTAATACAGTTGAGACAAAAGTGGAAAATGGAAACTCTGCCAAGGAAATTTACATTTATTCAGGATGAGCACTGGTGCAAGGCAAATCCTGTAAAGTATATGTGTTAGCATAGCAGAACAGTTCCCTTACTGCAGGTCGATGTGCACCTTACTAAAACTTGTCATGTTGAAATTTGTCACGTAATGTGTGTAAATACACTCACATGGTTCATGGATTTACTGATCTGGGGCGTTGGTTTGTATCTGAGGTTCGGCCTCTGTGACCAGAAGAAAGGAATTGATCCCCGTGTCTTGAAAAACAAAAAGGAAAAACAAGGAAAAATTTATTCATCAGCCCTTTAGAATCCTTTCCACAGCTCCATGGCAGTGCTGCAACCAGAGTCAGCTTGCCCTTTCCTCATGCAGTATAAATTGCTGTCTCCTTTGAAATTTGGCATTCTTGCAACTATCCTGATGATTGCAAGACAAAAGAACACGTTTCCTTTCTCAGCAACATCCTTTTACACTATTAAAACACTGGGTTATTAAAATTAACTGTGATGGCATATACATAAAAACAATTATTAAAAATGTTAATGACAACTATAAGCTACTAACTCCACTCGACGTCGACTCTCCTACTCCTCTGATGCTGCCTGACCTGGTGTGTTCCTCCAGCTCCACGTTGTATCGACTTTGAGTTCATCATCTGCAGTTCTTGCTATCTCCGAGTAACTCAATTTCTTTACAGCTTTCCTATTACCCATGATACATTTTACAATATTCCCCATTCTTTATATCCAAGTACTTTCCTCACTAAACAACATTTCTTTTCTTGGTCCAAAGTGACCTGATTTTTATTGTCGGAGCCAGGCCTTCTGACCAGACCTAATTAATTTCCTACAGAACTCTGATTCCTGTATCTGTTCCCACATCCATCACCTTTGCTTACTGAGATACACTGACTCCCAGTCTTCAGTCCTTCCCAACCTGGTGTTATAATATGTGGTGTCCCTCCCCCCCACCTTTGCAACATTCGTCAGCCCTACACCCCTCCCCTCTGAGTATTTTATGATTCCGGCCTTTTCATGCGTTGCCCACTCTCTTCACCCCAGTCTGGGCGACTGTCATATGAACAGTCTAGATCACGCCCTTTGGAATTTTTGCTTTAAACCTCGTTGTTTGCCCACCCCTCTCTTCAAAAGCTTTGTCAAAACTCTTCTCGTTAACCAAGACGTGTATGCCTCAGTTTTCACCTGCCATTTCTACCCCAGAAGCGCAACAAGTTAGTTTTCTATGTTAAAACAGGAATGAAAATGCAAGAGTTTCCAATGCATGGTGGAAGGCACTTACTTGTACAAATGATACTTTATAACCATTGTATTGTACTATTTGTTCAGTCTCCACAAAGTTAGCAGCATGTCCTTCAGAATCAATACCTACAAACATTCAAACATGAAATTCAACAACTTTTTGGGAAAAGGATCATCTAATTTAAATCATCAGTCACGCTTCTAAACAAAAGTGACAATTTACACGAAGACTTCATCTCTTCTAAGTCTCAATTCACCTCCTTTCAACTTGCTAATAATTTCCCAAAATAGAGTGACCAAACCAAAATGGATAATAGCAAAAATCCTATGATTGTTCACTCGCAATTTAAAAAAAACCTAGAAAAATGATCGGGCGGAATTTAAAAGCAAATGCAAAAAATTGTAACAGCTGACAGCGCAATCTGTGCAGCAAATGTAATTCTCAATTGAGCTCTGTAACAACGGTACAAATGGTTGTTTGATAGAACGGATCTGGACTGCTGCTAAAAGACATTTAGTTGAAGCTTTTCTTATTACGCTTGTCAGGACAATGTAAGGTACCAGTATAAGGTGAACACAAATATTTATACTGTATGAGAGTGCTGATTGGATGCCAAGTGGACTTTGATTGGTACAGGTGTCATCATGGACAACGTGTCAGTTAACAAAGATCGACAGTCAACTGCCAGGTCCATTTACATTTCAAATTAGGCAAGTTGACTCTCACTGGTCAAAGCATCACCCTGAGCAGCAAATAGATGTCACCCATTTTACTGAATTGAAGCAGGCACACAGTGTATGTACAGGTCGTTTATGTCTCCAAGAACAGGACCCTGTGTATTAATAGAGGCAGCTTCCCGCAGTTGCGTATTGCAAGCCTGACTGATGACCCAAATTAGTCGTCAGTGTAATACTTTTCAAACTCAGGATTATCTAGCAAATGCTATCCAATTGCGGAATCACACCTAACGTTGGACATAGTTGGGAGTTTCGCCAAGTATGGGGCAGCTTGCTGCAAACACCTAAACGGTGTGCTGTTTGATACAATCTGCCCACCTCTTGGACACACAGCATACATACCAGTCATCACACCGATAGTGATGAGTGCAAGACAAAAAGCTTCAACAAAATGTGTTTTTTCTTCAGAGAAGCTATCAATATCCAGTGACAGCTCAGCAGGAGGGCATTTTCTTTCAAAAATGCAATGAAATCTTGTAATATAAAAACATGAATCCCAAAAACAGCTGTGATTCTGAACAGAAATAACAGAAATAAAGCTCTAGAGTTCATAAGCAAGGTTGAGAGTCCTGCATGGTGTGTTGCATGCCTGGTGCCAAGGTAAGGGACATCTCGAATTGGCTTGAAAGGATTACTGGAGTTGGAGGAGAGGATTCAGTTGGCATGGTCCATTTTGAGACCGGTAAGAGTAGGTAAGACATCCTGTTTGCGGAATATCAAAAATTAGGAACAAAATTAAAGAACAGGACCTCAATGGTTATAATCTCTAGATTATTACCCAAGCCACATGCAAATTGGCACAGAGATAAGAAAATTAGGGAAGTAAAAGCATGGTTAAAGGAGTGGTGCAGGAAAGAGGGGTTCCGTTTTATGGGCACTGGCATCAATATTGGGATGGGAAGAAAATGCCCTCCTGCTGAGCTGTCGCTGGATATTGATAGCTTCCCTGAAGAAAAAACACATTTTGATGAAGCTTTTTGTCTTGCACTTCTCACTATCGGTGTGATGACTGGTATGTATGCTGTGTGTCCCAGAGGTGGGCAGATTGTATCAAACAACACACCGTTTCGCTGTTTGCAGCAAGCTGCCCCATACTTGGCGAAACTCCCAACTATGTCCAACGTTAGGTGTGATTCCGCAATTGGATAGCATTTGCTAGATAATCCTGAGTCTGAAAAGTATTACACTGACGACTAATTTGGGTCGTCAGTCAGGCTTGCAATACGCAACTGCGGGAAGCTGCTTCTATTAATACACAGGGTCCTGTTCTTTCCTGGAGACATAGAGACATCGGGTCAGGCTCCATCTGAACCGATCTGGGACCAATGTCCCAGCAGAAAGGCTAAATAGGGTGGGCACAAGGGCGTTAAACCAGTAAATGGGGGAAGAGGACTCAGGGGAAGTCAACAGTTTCAGAACCAAGCACACGACAAAGAGTAAAGGAACAGTCAGGAATCCTACTTCAGGTACAGCAGGTGATTGTAAGAAGTACTTTGACTGAGCTGGTAGAGTGAAATAATAAATAGGTGAGTAAAGCATCATTTCTGAGATTACAGTCTATGTACAAATAACAATTTCATACACAAATGTGCAGAGCGTAAAATTAAATAAGCTGCGGGCACAAATTCAAGTTTGAAATTATGATATAGTAGCCACTACAGAGACATGGTTGCAGGATTATTGGGATCGGGAGGAAGCAAGATCCCCCAGTTTTTCTTTGTAATACTACATGACATCATCAACAAGGTCCAACTTTACGTTTTTTACATTCTCTGCACTTGTTCCGTGGCCTGAATTTCACTTTCGTGTCTTCGTGACCAAAAGTAGACAAACCTCAAGGTGTAATGTGAATTACACTACAGGTTTAAAAGTGTACTATCCCTTAGCCAATTGACCAAAAGGATCTTCTCCACTTACCTCTAACATAGTATCGAACACCTGCCCTGAAACAACTTCTCCTAGAGAGGATCGCCCAGTCAAAATATTTTCCATTTATGCTGCAGCGCTTCACAGTCAAGACTGAGACATGAAGTGGATGGTCAAGGAAATGTAAATTAAGTACCAGTTCTATCATTAGAAGGATTCACCACAGCAGGATGGAGAACATTATTTTGATTATTTCAAACCTATAAACTCTATATTTATTTAAATAAAATTTAAAGGCAAGGGCCACAAATAGCAGACTAGCTAAAAACTACACAAAATTTAATTTTCCTCTCAAGCTTACTTGATAGATAATGTCCCTCAACAGACCTTTTATAGAAGGCAACAGCTCAGGTACCTGCAAAGAATTCACTTGCAAGACTGCCAAAAGAAATATAAATCTGATCAATGGCACAATTCCAATATGTTTGAAATGCTGAGTACAATGGATACTGAGTATTGGAAACATAAGTCACAATGACTGCCTTGTCACCAACTTAAAGAAAATGCAATCAATTCTGCACTTCGTTCTAAATTTATACATGAAATTAGAACTCTCATACACTCTCAAATCCTATGAGACTAACAGTGAAAACAGTAACATTTCTGTCAATACATGCCAACTGTGTAGCTTGAGACCAAAATGTTTCAGGACCTTGGTAACTCTAGAACTGGAACACTGTCCCAAAGGAACAACACAAAATCCAGCACAGATACTTGAGCACCTCGTTAACCCCGGCACAGACCCTCCCGGGGGCCCTGCCAGCTCCGGCACCGACCCTCCCGGGCGCCCCGCCAGTTCCGGCGCCGACCATCTGAATTCTTTGCAACACACAACTGGCAGCAGATATCAATCACTGATATTGTGCAGAGGACATGGCATACGTAGCTTCAACATCCTGATAACAGGAAGGATGTGAGAAAGGTACAACAGTTCTATCGAGGTTGAGGGCATCAATTTACACAATTTATTACTAGGCATTCAAACTGCAATATGATTTCTTAATCTATTTTAACTAGGCACTAAAAACATGAAAAAGCTTGAAGTGGATCTCAGTGACTTTAAATAAACAGGCTTCAATGACATGCTCTCCGGATAAAATAGGTGACAAATTACATCAAAGTGCCAGGTTTTCTTTTCTTTAAAATGCTACCGAAATCCTCCACGAATCAATATTTACTTACAAAAGAACAGAGAGAAATATTAAAAAGTAAATCCTTTCTAAACTTACATGCTGGGCAACCTAATGAATTTCTGAAGCAACAAACAACACGTGAGGAAACTAATCTGGGTTTTAAGATGCTTTATAAATTTCTCAGTTAAAATCATTTGTTGCGAGGAATGGAGGAGTCAATCTGTTGAAATCTCTTTTCTATTTTATGTCATTAGATTAGTGAACTATTAAAAATGCAGAACTATTAATCATGAACAGCATTTTCATATTCTAAGGCTGAGGAAATGTGCAAAAATTGATCCAATTCATCTCTTTGGGCATGTTTCAAGTCCCAGTAGGACACTTGGAACTAGGAAAACTTGTAATGACCATTAGCTTAAGATTATTTTAATCTTAAATTTTTAAGATTGAAAAGTTCTTTTATTCTTAAGTTAAACGACTTTAAGACAAACAAATTTAGATAGAAGATTATGATTTTAATTTAAAAGCACAGCAAAAAAAAAATGTAGAAAACAGGTTTGAAAGAGAAACAAAGCGTATCCACTACCAACCAAACAGAGAGCGAGCCATCTGTGAAGTGGCAATAACATAAAGTGTCCATCAGTCCTGAACCGGCTCATCAATGACGTCTGCACTGCTAACCCCACCTTCACCACCTCACCGTGGTCTGCATTGGACCCAACCAATGGTGAAGTTACCGATCCACCTTTCGCTGCTGGGCCTTTACTCCGCCACTGTTCCACTGCTGCTTGTGCCAAACCCACTGCCACCCCTCACTGCTCAGTGCTCCTGTGATGCCCCTCCATCACCACTTCACCGCCACCACAGCGCTGGACCCAACTAATGACACAGCCATTGATCCTCAGGTGCCATCTTTCACCATTGGGCCTACCTGACCAACATTACCTCCCCTGATCTAGCAGCCACCAATTCCAATGCCAGGTCCTGTACTCGCCCTGGAAAAATAAGTAGGCGCTCACTCTGCGCAGGGCCCATTTGCCACCTGTGTCTGAGCGCAGGACAAGAGGTAAGTAAAGGAAAGAAGATCAGAAAAAACAAGAAAAGTAAAGCGGTCAGAGTTGGATGAGCTCTGGCTCAGAAGGCCTACTCTGCCATCTTGATGATGATATGCTATTTAAATGCAAGTCCTTTTCTTTCCAAAACAACAAAGCAGCATTCCCCCAAAATCACCAGCTTATTTTTTGACCAGTCATTTTGATTTATAATTCCTACAGCCACCACTCCATCACTAGTTTGAAAAAGGATACAGCCATGAATCACTGGAACAGCAAATCTATGAAGCTTTTGGGGAGAAAAGAGCAATAAATGAATGTAGCTAGCAATGCTTTAGAAATTGGATCGATTATATCAATACTTGGCAGTTGACAACTGAACTTTGAACACCTTAAGGCAATTTAAAAGGTAAAATGATGGTCAGATATTCAATAAGGGGAGATGTCAAGTCCCATTTCAACTGCATAAAACAAACGGACAAGATAGTTAGGCTTCTTACACAGAGATTAAGCAACCAGAATAAAAATGTGGAGCTTCAAAATAATTGACCCGTCCTCCACAATTTTCTAGAGAAGACGATGAGTCCCAACCAAACACCTTTTTTGTTTTGAAAAATGTATTGCTTCAACATTATTGGCCTATAGGGAGAGATTTAAAGTGCTCACAATAATTTAAAGATGGATAATACACTCGCTGTACCTTTCAAGTATTTTTCCAATCAATCAATCTGGCATCATAACACCAAAATAAACATTTAAAAGAACATTCATAATATTAAAATAGATCAGAAAAATATTTACTCATTAGGAGAGCCCTATTCCACATTTAACGAGTGCGTAGCTCATTTTACCTCCGCACTGTGAGCTCCACTCACATTTAAATCAAATACAGACTCAGTAATAAATCCCAAAAGAATAATGTATGGTGTGCAGGTTTGGAATATTGAGAGCATTACCGCCAACAGCTGTGTCTCAGGCCTAGGAGTTAAGAACCCAATTAGGGGAAATTAGGTGCAACAGTTCTGTGCCACTGAGCTTGCATCATTAATGCTGGTAAGAGATTAGCCAAAATCAGTTCACTTCCACACTCAACCCTTGACAAACTCACCAACACAATCCTCGACTCAGCAGCCCTGGTCAAGTATGTGAAAATCACTGTAATATAATGTGTGACTGTGATACAATGCATTGATTTGTTTCATAATACAATATTGACTTGCAAGCTGAATTCAGTTTTTTAAGAGAATTAGTTAAATTATCAACAAGGGTAGGGAACTTGCTTTCTATTGGGAATGCTGCGGGAAATAATAAATGAAGTGCATACCAGTCCTTTACCCTTTTAGCACAATCAGAGGAAGATTTCATGGGCTCCGTCTGTGATGTATTATTTCATGATTCCAAACAAAAACCACACAAAATAAAGTGCTCACCTCTGGCTGTGCAGCAAATTCCCGCAGGAGGTGTCCATTCCACACAAAACGCTGATCTGCCTGCAAGGATAACACCATAGTAAACACTACAAGGTACACAACCTTGGTCTCTCAGTTTTATTAGATTGCGGCTGGGTGGCAAAAGTTCAAACCTGCAACACCACCATTTCACAAGGACCGGCTTACCCAGCTGGATGCTTCCTGATATGGAACATTGTAGAATAGTCCATGTTAAAAGCACCCTGTGAAAAACCAACACTACAGGATGGTGTTGATCAGTATCTGAGAACAATGTCAGATCCAGGGATTTAACTGAGTCAACACTCACGTATCATTGCTGCTAACAGTTGCTCTTGAAGTTAGTGCAAGTCTGGTACAAAGACAAATAAAGCAGACGTGTGGCTGCGATTACAGTCAACCTCTCTCCCCCTCGGACCTCCCAAAATTACTCCATATCTCACTTAGCGAGGGCTAAAGTGAAAACCTCTCCACTTACCTAGGTGAGTGCTCCTAGGACATTCCTTGACACTGTCCAGGACAAAGCAGCCCACTTGATCAGCACACAGTCCACCATTTTAAACATTTATTTCCCCCATCATCACCGACGCACGGTGGGAGCAATGTATACTGACTAATAGTTGTCGGTCAGCAACTTGACAAGCCTCCTTCACCCACACCTATCATTTAGAAGAATAAGGCCAGCAGACACATAGGAAGCCTGCTATCTAAAAGGTTCTGTTCCAAGTCATACTCCACTCTGCCTTGGAAATATATTACTGCCCCTTCATGGTCACTGAAACTCCCAAACTATCAGCACTGCAGCAGCAGCATCATTACAGGGGCTACAGAAGTTCAATGTGACAGCAACAGCTCACCATCACCTTCTCAAGGCAAGAAATGCTGGGTCTTGCAAATGACAATCACATCCATAAATTCATTCAGAAAAAACAAAGGAAATGTAGGAAAAAATATAGAAACATTCCTGAAGAATTGCTGTTGCTTTGATCCTAGTTTGAAACCATGAAGCAGACCGCATACCTTGACAACAGGATGGAGAACATGAGTCCAAGGTCCACCTTACCCTTTCCAGTAGAGTCATCTCCTGGAATTCTGGACTAGTATTGGCCAACCGCTGCAATGTGTGAGTAATGTCGTAAGTCGTGGAGAAGTAAAATCCATCAGTGTTAAGAACATTGTTGAGCATTGCCAAGAAGGTCTTGTTATCTAGCATCTGTTGGACAAGAACACATAACTAACAATTGGTGGTGAACTTTTCCCAGCATTAATGTACAAGGTACAGCAAGGGAATGACAGGACTCAGCAGCATGTTATCAAGCCTTCAGCAGCATCACAGTCTTACTGATGTACGGTACCTCAACACACCAGCTTGTTCCCTGGCCGACATCTCTGTCTCAGGCTTGCTGCAGTGCTCCAACGAAGCTCAGCACAAGCTGGAAGAACTGCACATTTCCCACTTGGGTACTCTAGAGCCTTCTGGACTCGATATGGAGTTCAAAAATTTTAGGGCTTGAGGCAGCTTCTTCTGGTGTCCTTACCAGAATCCCCACAGACCAGGGTCTGCTATTACACACAACACATGGTTAGCCACTAATAGTCTGCATTAACAGCTATTCACCTAGACAGATCATTATCCACTCTTTTGTCTGTTCAACTGTTCTTCTTTCTCTTCGGACTCTATCGTTTACTCCTTACCCCTCCCTATCTTCTGCATATAACCAACGTTTTCCTAGCTACCATTAGTTCTGAGGAAGGGTCACTGGACCCGAAATGTTAAACATTGATTTCTCTCTACAGATGTTGCCAGACCTGCTGAGCTTTGCCAGCAATTTCTGTTTTTGTTTCGGATTTCCAGCATCCGCAGTTCTTTCAGTGTTTAATGTAAAACAGAATCAGGTCAAAACGAGCTGCATTGGTGAACAAAGTCTTCCACTGTCTTTCAAAGCAAAATACTGCACATGCTGGAAGTCTGAAACAAACAGGGAAAGTGCTGCAGAAATTTAGCAGGTGCTAGGAAAAGAGAAACAGAGTTAATGTTTTGAGTCCAATGACTCCTCTTCAGAACAGAATAGGTTCTGAAGATATCATATCAGACTCAAAATGTTAACTGTTTCTCTCTCTCTCCACAGATGCTACTAGATCTGCTGAGTTTCTCCAGCATTCTCTGTGTTAGTTCCTTCACTGATCTTTATTTGGTGAACTTGCAACTGAATTGAAAAGGATTTTGCATGCCTGCTCAGTGCCTGCACCCAAAACTTGGAATCAAAACATCAAGGCTGAGGGCCAGCTTATGTGCAAAATTAAGGAAGATCAAGTTTATTTTGCTTGTGGACTCTAACACCACATCACGCACAATGTATTAATCTGCTGCTTACGTGCAGCTCCTTTTAATCCTCGTGGTCTGAAAATCTCAGGTCACGCGGCGTTTAATTCCACAGCCAGGGAACCTGAGAAATGGTCATCTGTTTCAGTTTGTGTCAGGGAAGTCTTCAGCACTAAAAATGCTTTTGCATCTAAAACTGTGCAAGTTTACATTCTGTTTTCATCCATTTTAATATGCACACTATGATTTCTACAGTATTCCTACAATCAACAGTGAGACTAGATTGTGCTTTCATAAAATCAGGCAGAAATAAAACTCAGGGTTCAATGGTAAATGAACAGTATGTTGCTTATCCAGCTCGAGAAGATGACATATTTCGAGGATGTTGAGCAAAGTACAGGACTGACAAATCATGTTAGAAGTTTGGATTCTGGGTGTATGTTGCTCTCAATCTCTAATGGTGCTAACATCTATTTGTGGAGAGAATAGAAAGTGTAGGCTTCTTCCCTTAGCTTAGCATGCCACCATGTGGCCACGTGCTGTAACAAAATTTAGAACAGAGCTCTGAAGTTCAAAACTTGAAATTACAGCAAGTATTTAAGAGTCACAGAGTTGTACAGCACAGAAACAGACCCTTTGGTCCAACTCGTCCATGCCAACCAGATATCCTAAATTAATCCAGTCCCATTCGACAGCATTTGGCCCATATCCTTCTTAACCCTTCCTATTCATATACCTATGCAGATGCCATTTAAATGTTGTAATTGTACCAGCCTCCACCACTTCCTCTGGCACTTCATTCCATACATGCACCACCCTCTGCATGAAAAAGTTGCCCCTTTGCTCCCTTTCATATCTTTCCCCTCTCACTTTAAAACTATGCCCTCTAGTTTTGGGATCCCCTACCCTGGGGAAAAAGACCTTGGCTATTCACCCTATCCATGCCTCTCATGACTTTATAAACCTCTATAAAGGTCACCCCTCAGCCTCTGATGCTCCAGGGAAAATAGCCCCAGTCTATTCAGCCTCTCCCTTTAGCTCAAACCCTCCAACCCTGACAACATCCTTGTGAGCCTTTTCTGAACCCTTTCAAGTTTCACAACATCTTTCCGACATCAGGGAGTCTCAAATAGCAGTTAATCTCCCTACTCCCACTGCAAGAAGAGAAGTGATAGTCTCAGTTACACATCTGGTTAACGAAAGCTGGAGGACCAGAGATTGAATTTCCAACAATCATACAGAAGTGCAATAACTGGGTCCCAAGTTATGCAAGATAAACTAATTAACCCAAGTTGCTGCCACCACATAAATATGTAATAAAATCACACTGAAAGATTAATGAAGCAATGTCATCTCTCAGACGAGAAGGGCGTAGGAACCAATGCAGATAAATATTTCCACATACACGGCAAGGGCTCCATACAGTGTTGAGGACATAATTTTTACTGTATGTTAGTCTATGCAATACACAAATCACTGACTTATAATCATTGAATTAAATTGTTTTATTAATGCCAGTTGGCCACAATGGTTTATCACAGGTTTAACTGTGTAATAAACGTTTACCTTTTGTTTTGTTGAAAGCAAAGAATAATCAGGAAGGCAGAAGGGAACGAGTCTAGTTCTGATGAAGAACGGAGGAGGTTGCATTTGTACAGCACCTCCCATGACTTTGGAATGTCCAAGAAACAAGGTTTGGCAGGGCTCAGGGTGGGTACCTGGACTCTAGCAGAAGCGAGGTATGGCTGTGGGCACACAAGCTGAGAAAGGCTGTTGGTGTCTCTTTGTATTTGGCTTAAAGCAGTACTAAGATTCATGAAATAAACTTCTAACCTGAGATTCTGGTGATCAATCCGAAACTCCTTATTGTGTTGCTAATACACTATGTCTGCACTCCCCACAAGAAACAGGTGGCAATTGGAGAAACTTTTAACACTATGAGATGAAAGGATTTGGAAAGTGTTGCTCAACAGGACGGTGGAAACATTCAACAGTAGACTTCAAAGGACAATTGGAGAATCGTTTGAAACAGAAAGGTTTGCAGCAACCCTGGCAAAGAATGAGGAGCGTCGGAATAACTGGATTGCTCTTCAGAAGAGGAGCCACTCCAGACCTGATGGGCTGAATGGCCGCCTTCTACACTATTGGATTCTACAGTTTCCTTTACTATTTTTACAGCATAGCATGTGGCTGTACAGCCTATCGGCTCTCCAAACAAGCAATTCACCCACCTTCTCCTCGTAACCCTACCTATTTTTCTTTTCACAGAGCCACCTGGCTGCCTTTTGAATCAGTCAACTGAACTTGCCTCCACCGTACTCACCTTTCCTCCTATCAGTTTCATTTCTGTGAATAATTACTTGAAAGTCATACAGGTGCCAAAACAAGCAAAGTGCTTCTGGAATAAGGCAGCACACAGAATAGGAAAGATGTCTGAGATATTGAAGGCAAATCTCTCATCTTATCAGAGCTGTGCATGCAGGGTCTTCTGGTGGTGGGAGCAGAGACCTGGGAACTTGTTACAGTGAAATGGAAGGTATCCTTGGAACACTGGGACAGCCCATCTCAAGTTGGTGAAGATACTTGTGGAGTACTGTGTACAGTTCTGGTTGCCCTGCTAAAGGAAGTATATTATTAAATTGGAGGCTGCAGAACAAGTTTAAAAGAATGTTAGCACGACTGCAGGGCTTGAGTTATAACAGGAGGCTGGATAGGCTGGGATGTTTTTGCCTGGAGTGTAGGAGGTTGAGGGGCAACCTTATTGATGTTTATAAAATCATAAGCGGCACAGAAATTGAATAGCAGAGGTCTCTCCCCCAGGGTAGGGGAGCATAGGTTTAAGGTGACAGGAGAAAGATTTAAAAGGGACCTGAGGGGCAGCGTTTTCACGCAGAGGACAGTGCTTCTGTGGAATGATCTGCCAGAAGAAGTTGTAGATCCAGCTACAGCTACAACATTTAAAAGACATTGCGACAGGTACGTGAATAGAAAAGGTTTGGGAGATATGGGCAGGCAAATGGGGCTAGTTTAGTTTAGGAAACTTGGTCAGCATGGACACGTTGGGCCGAAGGGTCTGTTTTCGGGCTGTATGACTCTATGACTATGTGGGACTGGTGAGGAGGAGTGAAGTGTACTCGAGCAAAGAAGGAATCACCATTGGTTGGAGACAGGATCTGATAGCATTAGAAGGGGAACGGGAACACAGCAAGCTAACACAACATTGAGATGAAAAGTTGAGGTAACTGTGCCACTCCATCCCAGTCTATGCCAGTCTGCTGACACTGGAATGCTGGTGTGCTTCAATGAGCAGCTGTCCTGCCAAGTCCCCAGCAACCACTCGAGAAATAGCTCGTGTGGTTTGAAAATGAATTTGGCAGAGCTCAGATAAAATATCATCAGTCTGAAACATTAACCTTATCTCGTTCTCCACAGATGCCACCAGACCTGCTAGTATTTCTGGCAGTTAACTTTTATTTCAAATTTACAGCATCGACAGTATATTTGTTTCCCAAAGTGCACACTGCCCTAAAGTGTGTCTTGACAAACAAAAACAAAAACAAAAACCTCCGAGTCGGAAAGGCTCAGCAGAAACGATGCACGGGAATCTATTCTTCCTCCTGCACTGGTTTCCCATTAGCTGACGTGGCTTCCCCACCCCCCCACTACTGATATTACTCTAACTAATTCCGTAGATTTTTGCTAGGGCAGGACTTGCTTTGTCAGCTCTGCTGGTTCCCACCACTGCGAAATCAACATCTCGATTTTGAAGGCATTCACAGAGCGTATAATATATTGGTTGATGGTTTCCTAGGACTAGTGAAGATGGCTACAGAGGTGTGTAATCACACGTCCAAATGGGTTGATTTAAAAAAGCAAACCAAAACCTGGCATCAAGATACAAGGAGATGTTAGGCTGGATGAGCAAAAGTTTGCTCAGCGATAGGTTTTAACAAACACCTTTAGAGAAGCAACAGTTAATAGGCAGAGGGGTTTAGGGAGAGAATTCCATATCTTAAGGCTTGGGCTACTCCAACTGTAAAGCAGTTAAAGTCAAAGATGCAGACGAGGTCAGAGGTAGAGGTATGCAGATATCTTGGGAGGGCTGCAGGAGGTAAGGGAAAGCATATGAGGAACATTCAGACCTTAGCTACGGTTTTTAATGTTAGAGTTTGCTGCCATTACTTATATGTAATGGATATCTCACAATTCACAACAGCAAAACAAACTGGAAGTACGCACTAGATGTAGGATTAATATATTACAGACATTGAACAGAGAATGCACCGCATTTTACACAATAAAAGGGAGTCAATCTGAATGCAAGTTATTTCAACACATACAGCAAACATTTTATTAACCTGCACCTACGAGATCAGGAGTTCACTGGTTGATCAAATATTCTGGTTGATCAAGAAGTCCACATGGTTCATGTACAAACACACACTAAGTAATGCAGGGGGTATACACAGTTGTACTTTATTTACAGCATAAATCACTAAAATAATAAAGTAACTTTGCCTTAAATAAAAATTACCAGCAGAGAGTCTTCTGACTTGCACCCTCAACTGACTACTTGGACATCACGGAGATCGGGACAATAGAGTAAACTTCTGGTATTTCAGGGATATAATTTTTATCAGTTTATTGAGTGTGCTGGTCCAAAAGGTACCAGTTAAAACAAAGTTTGCTGTATTTCAAGTATAAAATTTGGTGCATGTTACCTGCATCTCAGTTAGGTGCAACACAGTCTTCTTATAGGAAATGATGTCAAATTCTGTTGCTTTCCAAATAGCATGGTTGAACAATTCTCCCATTTTTTGTTTTTTAGTAATAACTATAAGGTACATGCCTGCAGGACCAGCAAAAGACAAAAGAATTTAATCAAAAAGTGTAACACATTAAGCACAGCAGATATGCCAGCCTTAGGAGTCCAGCAACACAGACCATGAAGACCTTACAGACAGAGTCTGTCTTTCAGCGCTGCTCCAAAATGGCTTTGCTTAAAACCTCAATGCAATAGAAGATGTGGATTCTGTCAGCATTTAATCCAGCCAGAGTGTTTTCCCATTTTAGTTTTCATCAAATCTTCTTTTGTGTAAGCTGTATCTGTGGCACCAGCTGTAACTCTAATATCGAGTTGAAGGTTTATTCGCTGTCAGTTCTCACCTTTTGCTACTGTCTTCTCAAGGGCAATTAGGAATGGGTAAATGCTGACCCAGCCAGCATCACCCCCCACTTCTCACAAATTAATGCATTAAAAAAAAAAGTCTTTACTTTCCTCTCAGCCTGCTATTTCACTCAGGATTTCAAAAATAAATCATGACGTCCACCATCTAGATTTGATTTGATTTATTGTGTCACATGTACCCAAGTACAGTGAAAAGTTTGGTTTGGCATGCAATACAGGCAGATCATAGCATACAACGACATACAGATCATAGGGAGATTGAACAGAGTGAGGTATGAAAGGTTGCAGCTGCACAGGTGGTGTATAAAAGCAAGATCAACATTAGATTTGAAATCTGAAACGTCTGTTCAGAAATCTCATAACAGCAGGGAAGAAGCTGTTCTTGAACCTGTTGGTATATATTTAAGCTTTTGTATCTTCTGCTCGATGGAAGAGGTTGGAAGAGATTATAACTGGGATGGGAGGGCTCTTTGATGATGTTGGCTGCTTTTCTGCAGCAATGAGGTGTAGATGGAGTCCATGGATGGGAGATTGGTTTGTGTCAATCTCACCGATACAAGATGGTGTTGACACAGGGCAACTATTTGCGAGCTCTCTACAGCAGATTTTTATTCTCACCTTTCTTAGAAGTCCAAAGGCGGCAGGTATACGGGAACATCACCAACTGCAAGTTCCCTTCCAAGCTACTCACCATCCTAATCTGCAAACATATCACCTTCAGTGTTGTTGAGTCAAAATCCTGGGATTCCTTCCCTACTAGCATTGAGAGTCTACCTACAGCAAATGTACTGCACTGATTCTAGAAGGCACTTCGCCATCACCTCCTCCTCAAGGACACTTCAGAATGGGCAATAAATGCTGCAAAACCCACATCCCATCAATAATTTTTTTTAAATGTTGCAATGTGAGATAGATGCAGATGGGCCTATGACTAGAACATGCTGCTGTTCCACTCTGACAAAAATCTCATGTTTATTCATGACAGCACAAATAAAGCAGAAAATAACTCAGCAAGATCAATTTGGACATCTCTCTGCCTGTTAGGCACCTGATACCTGATTCAGTGACAAAGGTGGAAAACATCAAGCAATTGAAATTATAATATAATCCAATCGCAAGGCAAAATGATCAATATTTGAAAGCAGAAAAGTAAGTTAATTGGTGAAACATTCACAAGCAGAATTTCTTTGGGACATCAAATTGAATCCACTAGCACATTTTCTTTAAAATGTTGTAGGGTGAGGAAGCACTTGGCAGTAATATGACACATTATCCTGGAAACATAATTTGCATTACAGAATTCTGGAAACTGGAAAGATTGCCAAATGTCTTTCAATGAAAGCAGTGTTACTTTAACTCCCAAAAAGCCACTACTTTTGGACTTCCACAAAAAGCTCTTTGTGAGTTTCATGATAAATATTTACAACATATTTTCAAGCAGAAGTTTTCTTGAAATGATTACTGATCACTTATTACACATGTTGTGAAATCCTGTAACAGAGCACTAGACATGTCAGGCCAACTGGACTTTGTCCATGTTTATACTTCACAAGTTGCTCCCATCCTTCTTCAAATCACCCCATCCACATATCCTTTCTCAAGTGTTTATCCAGATTCCCCTTAAACGCATCTACTACTATTAAAATGCAAAAATATAACCAAAGAGATACTGATTTTTACAATCTTTTAGCAGAGTTGAACCGTTTTTGTCTGAAAAGAAACCTTTGGACACATGTTGGTACCTCCTAATTAGGCAACGAAAATGCGTTGCAAATGCACAAATGAAATTGAGAAGATGGCACCAATTTATGATCTTTACTAGGTTACACAAAATGTAAGGCACACCAGGGTATATGATCCAAGCACTCTGTGCTGGTGTATGTGGTCCATATCCACGTTAGGCCAGCCTGGATTACCCTGGCCAGCCAGTATCAGTTGCAGTATTGACAATGACTCACTGCTGCATAGGCTATGTTGGCATTTGGAATTTTGGCCGTAATGGTGGTGGACATCCCAGGGAACAATTAAAAATGAAGAACGCTTCTGGCAGCTTTGGTCCCAGTCAGCGTGATGACCCACCCAACAGGGCTGCAGTCCACCTGCTCCCAGAAGGCACACAGTTGTGAAAGTGGCAAACAATATTGAACCAAAGTACAGGCTAATGCCTCAACTCCCAGTAGACAGAAATACAGAAATCATCAAAAGCAGATTTAACAGAGCTCTTCCGCAACAGTTGACAAAAGCGCAGCAACAGAATCTTAGGTAAACTAATTCAAGCACAGCATTATCTCCACTACCACTAAAAAAAAAATATAGTGATCACATCCACCCACCTGCAACCAGGCGAATTGTTCCCATGATTCCATAAACAGATCTGGTAACTGCAGAGGGAGGGACATCTTTCTTAACTAACAAAAGAAAAAGGGAAAATCATTGATATAGTTTAAAAACATTCATACATACAGCTAGGAGAAAGGTCAATAAGCTGACTACATAGGAAGAAATGTACATTCTTCAAGACCGAATGGCTAGAAACAACGTCGCTGAGGAGCCTAATTTGAAGAGTCAACTTCAAATACCTTACTTGAGCAGCCAGCAGCACTGGTTGTGCATGGGAGCATGGAGAGCCATGGTTGGGGGTGGGGGTGGGTGGAAGGAGAGCATGAGGCGGGGAGGCATGGGAGAGAGAAACGGGGGGGGGGGGGAGTGGGGAGTGGAAGGCGAGGGAAGGGGGTTACAGGGAGGTGATGGCTGAGTGAGAGGGCAGAGGGGCAATGGTGGGGAGGGTGACACGAGCGAGGTGGGAGCAGGGGAGCGAGCACAGGGTGGGAGAGAGTGGAGACAGAGTGGGAGAGGGGGCCAGGAGGAGAGAGAGTGGGGTGAGTGGGGGGCAGGAGAAGGGAGAGGGAGTGTAGAGGGTTGGGGATGGTGGAGGCGGGGGGGCAGATCGGGGAGGGGAGAGTGAACGTGAGAAATGGCACACAGACAGTGGAATGGTGATGATGTTTGGGAGTTAAAACCAAAAAAAAAAAGTATGCTCTATAGAACTGACAGTGGGATAATTATAGAATGTAAAGCAATACATGCACTGGTCCTAAATTTCAGACTCTGATCTATAGAGATTACAAATGATACAGCCCTAAACCTATCCCAGGTAACAGAAAAGGTGGTCATATCTCATACTGAACCAGTCAGCCTCGACTGCTTGTATGATTGATCACCAAACATTTGTCTTTGCCGATATTAGCGAACTTCTAATTCACAATAATTAAAAGATAAGGGAATAGAACAGAAAATATGACAATTTTCTTTCAATGGTTACTGTGCTTGATTGGAAAGCGCATTGTGAAATCTAGAGGATATGAGAGATGCTAAATAAATGCAGGTTATTTCTTTCTAGGTTGATGTACTGCTTTTTATTCACAACCTGCTGTCTCTGCTGAAAGTCAAGGCAAGTATTTGGAAACTTGGATCCCTCGGATTATAAAATTAACTGTGCTAAGTGGGAGGCAGTCCTGTGAATAAATGCAGCGAAAAGTTTCATACTGAACCATATGGACAAGGAGGATCATAAGTTTCGAGGCACTAAATTCACTGATGGCAGCCAGCAGTTGAAATTAACGTCAGTAACCCCATAAGAAGGAAGAGAAAGTAATGGCCTCCTGAGCCTGCTCCACCTTTCAATATGATCATGGCTGATATATCTCAAATCCTCTTACCCACTCTGTCTCCTGGTTTACATCTAGACCACAAACTAGGTGCACGTTATCTTCAAATAATACTGGCAAGATCTGCTGCTTGTAATATCAAAAGTGCAATACCATATAAGGCAGAACATATTCTCTTAAGATACATTCATGCCCTTTGATGGTCTGAAGTGTCATTGCAAAACAAACACAACGTCATGTACTGTTGTGATTGCTCAAAGATGGGAAATGCTTATTGTTAGAAATACAGGTACTTCTGCTATAACGAATGTTTTGTTAATGCAAATTGGCTATAATGTCATTTATGAACAGTGGACACTGTTTGGATCACGTGATCTTTCTGCTGTACAGGTATAACAATTTTCTATCGTGATCTCCCTATAACGCAATTTTCTGTCGTGATTTTCTGTCGCATGAGGTCACACAAGAACGCAACTATCGTGTTATAGGAGAAATACCTGTACCACTATTAAAGATGGTTCTCCATATGCAGCATTCAGGCTGTGGCAAACCATGATTATTATATTACCAGGGACCCTCCTTTGCTCTTTCACTTGGGGAATCAAGTCAAAGTCAAAGTCATTCTTCAGGCAAGGCTAGGTCAGACGTGATAGAATAATTGGACCAGTTCTGAGGGAAAACTGAAACAATGCTGGAGATTGGGGGAGCCGGGGTGGGGTAGGATCAGGGTCAGGGTAACAAAGCAGAGTGTACAACAATGGTTAGAGACTGAGGCGTGGGGAAAAGTACAGCAGGATTATAAGCAGAGAAAATTAGGGTAAATTGGAATATAGTCAGATGCTTGCTGGAGCCATGACAAACAATAGCTAATGACCAGAAAAAGCGTAGAAAGAGTCAAAGAAACAGGCTGACGTAGTTGGGAAATGTGCAGGACATTACAACTGGATAGAACCAGGGTCAGGTATACATCTTGTCGGACATCTCACACCCACAGGTGTGCTGTGTCTACTGTGCCTCACGGTGGGTGGTCATGCAGACAGTAACTAGACAGCTCTACTGAGTACATTCTGGAAGAACATTAAGAGAAGCAACGAGTTTAGAACAGACTGAGGATAAAACACAAACTGAGACATGGTATGGCAAATAAGTAAGATGTTTGCATTTGTCTACAGGGGAGATCTAGAAAATCTAAGAAAGAAAGATACAAAATTTCAAATGCAAATTCAGTCTTCGCGTCCTTTGCTGACCTTTACCAACTGGGTGACTGAAAGCTCAAAAAAGGTTAAATTGCAAGCTAATACAGTTACTATCCCATAGGGACAGACAATAAACGCTGGCCCAGCCAGCAAAACACACGTCCCATGAGTGAATAAAAAAAAAAGAAATCAGAGTAGCAGAAATTGAATTAGATGGACTGCAAATGTGTGGCAGCTTTAAACAATAAAATGATTTATTTCAGCCTCAGCTACAGACAAAATGTGTAACCACAAGAACCACATTCAGCCCATCGAGTCTGCTCCACCATTCAGATGAGATCATGGTTGATCTGATAATCCTCAACTCCACTTTCCTGCCTTTTCCCAATAACGTTTGATTCCTTTCCTGATTAAAAATCTCTCAGCCTTGAATATTGTGAATGACCCAGATACAACAGCGGTAAGGAATTCCATAGATTCATCTCCCTAAGAAGAAACGAATCTCGGTCTCAGTTGATAGCTGCTGCAAGCACTTGTAAGCTTTCAAAGACCAGCATACCCCAAACTTTAATGAACAATAATAATGGAAACAGATGGATTTTTTTATGCTGTTGATTATGGTATGTTGGATGCTATGCCTTACGAATACAAACAGATATGGCATGTATCTCCTTACTTCTAAAAGGATATAATTGTGTTAGAAGCAGTTCAGAGAAGGTTCACTTGACTCATTCCTGGAATGAAGGGCATTTATGAAAAAAGGCTGAACAGATTGCACCTACATCCATTGGAGTTTAGAACAATGAGAGGTGACATTATTGAAATACACAAGATCTGGAGAAGATTGGATAGAGTGGACATGGGGAGGATGCTGCCTCTTGTGGAGGAGACTACAATTAGGGGAGACAGTTTAAAAATAAGAGGGCTCCCTTTTAAGATACAGATTAGAAGGCTTTCTTTTTCTCTTAAAAGGATTGTTAGCTTGTGAATGCTGTGTCATTGAATTTATTCATGGAATCCCCACAGTGTGTAAGTAGGCCATTCGGCTCATCGAGTCCACACCGACCCTCCAAGGAGTGTCCCACCCAGACCCAATCCCCTACCCCACCCCTGTAACCCTGCATTTCCCATGGTCAATCAACCTAACCTGCACATCTTTGGACTGTGGGAGGAAACCAGAGCACCTGGAGGAAACCCACGCAGACATGGGGGAGAACGTGCAAACTCCACACAGACTTGCCCAAGGCTGGAATTGAACTCAGGTCCTTGGTGCTGTGAGGCAGCAGTGCTAACACCGAGCCACCGTGGTCACGTGTTAGACAGCTGTTTGACAGAGAATAAAGTCCAGGGTTATACAGTACAGACAGACACCAGATACGAAACCTTACGGAGTGCTGGAGCAGGCTTGAAGGGCCAAATGACCTACTCCTACTCCCAAGCCAATGTTCTTACATCATGCACAAGTCACATCTCATTACCTTGGCTACTGACAATAAGCAGCGATAAGGTTTTTGCTATCTGTTGATCTGCTTGACTGTGAGCAATACATCTCAAAACTACAGATAGGTATGACCCAAGGTGGAAGAGGCATTCTTCTAATACAGGTGTGGGTTCCAATCTGGATTTTTTTAAAAGGATCCGTTAAGATTGGAAGATAAAGCAGATTGACTTCGCGTGGAGGATCTGATTTAAAATACTATGGATTGTCTCGGTTGTAATAGAATTTGTCAAAGTTGTTAAAATGTGAGCAGAGTTTTCGCAGCTGGTCGTTGGAAGTAGATTAACCTGAAGACTCCTCGCTGACACGGAGCTCTTAATAAAACTAAAGGTTTATTTTCAAGACTGTATTACAGAGAATCAACCAGACAGAGAAAATGTTCATAATTGCAGCAATATTGAGTTCAAACAGTGTGGAAGAGACATGAGCTCTATTGAGTTACGTTTTCCCTTGTTAAGGTTACAATGGCCTTTATTTGGAAAGCAGACTGATGCTGTCCAGTTTAATTTAAGAGGTTCTTAATAGAGGATAAAATGAAACTCAAAGGCAACAAATATTATAAAAATGTTTTGCATTTTCTGCAGGCAATAATGCCCAGGTGTGCTCCTCCAAAATATCAGGATAGACAGGACAAAAGAAGTCAATCTATAGTAGACAAATATTGTTACACAACCTAGGATTCCTGAGGGAATCAGATCAGCAAGTCACCAGAGACAAATCTCCAGAGTTACCTGCAGAAACAGGTTAATTAGCAACTCAGTCAAACTAAACTGCAATCAAGTTAATTTCTCCCAGGGAAGCTTTGCTGGAAAACAAACAGTCAGGCAGTTTGGAGTGAAACCTCCCAAAAAGAAACCAGATCAGGGGCTACAATGTTTTAAATGGGACTCCGCGTCATCAGCAATAGACCAGTACTTCTTCACTTGATGAGCTTACCAGATGGGGTGTATCCATCTGGATGCAGAGATCACTGGAAATACTTCTTACAGTTTTTTTTATAATCTAAGTGGGAACAAGCTGAGTACTTTGGAGATCAAAGTTCCGTAGGAGATCATTATTAAGCAGATAGCACATGCTTATCTGATTCCTATGTACTTCCCCTGCGTCAAACTCAATGCTTGGACAATCCAATGACAGTCAAGAGCCAGCTCATCATCGTGCTGATTACAGAGATGCTGTTGCAAATGATCAAAGTACAATCGCTGGAGGTACTTTTACATATAGATTGATTAAAGTGAAATTAAGTGCACGTACAAGAGATGTTGGATATGCTATCAGGAAACGGAAACTTGGTGGCCAGAATTATTGAGATCTCAAGGAGGACAGGATATCCATTACTTCACAACGCTGAACATTCCAGTATTAAATTACAGTGAGAATCTTTAATTGAGCTGTCTAATTTTGCCAAGCTGGAATGATCTGTTAAGGACTTTGAATTTGCAGTGCAGAATCAGGCCATTTGGCCGAATAATTCACCCCACTTCCTCTAACTCCAGCAACTCCTTTCTCAGGTACTGGCCCAGATTCTCCTTAACATCTCTGCTATTCATCTCCAGTACTCGATGAAGTCTAAATTCCACATTCTAACCATTTTCTAGGTCAGGAAGTTTCTTTTGAAATCCTCAACTACCTTATACTGATGTGCCAGAGTTCTTCACGTCTCTATTTACCCCATACTTCACCAGCTCTAGGAGGTCACCTTCAGGTTTCTATTTTCCAATAACAGAAACAGACCCAACCTGTTCGTTCTTGCCTGATAGTTAGAATCTTCCATCCTTGACGTATTTTTGCACTTTCCGCAGTGCCTCATTGTGCCTTTTTAACGGAGGTCAGAACCGTACACAATACTTCAAGTTGGCGCTCCTTCTTAGGCTGTCACCACATGTCAATCTGCAAGTCGCTCTGCTGGTTGCACACAAGCCATCACTTGCACTGATATTTGTAACGATTTGAATAACTGTACCCCTCACTCCCTTTGCTCCTTCACTCCAGATAGACTGGCTTTTCCTTCAATTTGGCCTGGAGGTTTCAGGCTCATATATTCTTCAAATATGGATCAACAAAGCCTTTATCAGTTTTGCCTTTTTTGCCTTTCTCTTGATGGAAGTTGATACAAACCTTGAACCTCTACAATGTGGTAACAGACCATTCAGCCCTTCGAGTCCACACCACAGTGAAGAGCATCCCACCCAGGCCCAGTCCCCAAACCCTATCCCCATAACATTGCACTTGGTGTGGCTAATCCACCTAGTCTGCACATTCCTGGACACTACGGGCAATTTAATATGTCTAATCCACCTAACCTGTAGATTTTTGAACTGTGGGAGGAAACTGGAGCACTCAGAGGAAACCCACGCAGACACGGGGAGAATATGCAAACGCCACACAGACAGTTGCCCGAGGGTGGAATCAAACCCTGGTTCCTGGCACCGTGAGGCAGCAGAGCTAACCACTGAGCCACCATGCCACCCCAAAAATTGAAAAAAAATGGCTTTGTAACAAAGCATGTCTCCGTTTGATCAAGCACTTTCCAACTTCTTGTAAATTCTCACCAGTGAAACTCTTACATAAAATATATATACCAGAAATAGGAGGTTTTGTCCATTCTGAACATTTATACCCTGCACAAGCTTCCTCTCTCTCCTTCCATCAACATAACCTTCTGTTTCTTCACCTGTGCGTTAAATCTAGTTTCTCCTTAAAATTATTATAGCTTCTTATTTTTGATCATGTGGCAACATTCAGGAAATAAAGATCATAATGGACATTTTGCAGCAATTAGAGCAACTCAAGTTTCAAAATAAACAAAAACTTTTCTGCTTGTGAAACGCAAACCCGTTTTGAAATTCCTCCAACTGATACTCCTTACCTCCAAGGGTGATTTCATTAGAGACACGGTCAATTGTGAGCACATCATTTGATCCATCATCACAAGCCTCAAAATAGAACTTTTCTGGCGTTGTGTGCCTAAAAAAAAAGACAGAACTTACTGTGAGTGTCAATTTCACGAAAAATTGTCAAAGCTGAATTTATGGGAAGCACTCTGGAAATTATAGATACCCTCAGAATAAAGATTAACAAATATTTTCTGCTTCAAATTTAGCTCTTACTGACAACACTTACAATAGTCATGTCTCTCCACTGCTGCATCACTTTTGTTTCCCACTCTATTTATCCTTGAACTCCCATTAATATTTTGCAAGGATTTATTAGTGCTTAGAGCCATGAACTGTGAACAGGTCATGGATTAGAAATTTATACAAATCCTGCAAAGCTAAAGCAAGGGACCTGCACCAGACACCCTGGGATGATTCTGTGATTAGAATAGCTGATTGATTGATTTATTTTATTATCACATGTATTGAAATACACTGAAAAGCTTTGTTTATGAGTGTTACAGGCAGATCATAGTAAGCAAATGGCGTACAGATCAAAAAGACTTTGAGGCATACAGGTTATATCGCACAGTGCGTGCGCTAGGCAAGATCAAGGTCAGCAAGATCAGCATTATTTCAGGCTAGAGAGTCCATTCATCAGATTGATAACAGAAGGGAAGAAGCTGTTCCTGAACCTGCTGGTGCCTGTGTTTGAGCTTCTGTATCTTCTACTTAATGGAAGAGGTTATAGGAGAGCATAACCGGGGTACAATGGGTCTTTGATGATGTTGGCAGCCTTTCTGCGGCAGTGAGCCATGTAAATGGAGTCCATGGATGGAGGGTTGGCTTCTGTGATGGTCTGGGCTGTGCACACCACCTTCTGTAGTTTCTTATGGTCCTGGGCAGAGCAGTTGCCGTACCAGGCAGTTATGCACCCGGACAGTATGCTTTCAATGGTGCATCTGTATAAGTTTGTGAGGGACCTTATGGACATGCCAAATTTCCTGAGCTGCCTGGAGGAAGAAAAGGCATTGTTGTGTCTTCTTGCCTGTTGCATCTACGCGGGAAGTCCAGGACAGGTTGTTGGTTATCGTCACTCCAAAGAACTTGATGTTCTTCACCCTCTCAACCTCAGTTCCATTCATGTAGATGGGGGTGTGATCTCCTCCTTTCTTTCTGAAGTCGATGATCAGTTCTTTAGGTTTGCCGATGTTGAGAGACAGATTGTTTTCATTGCACCACATCACCAAGCCTTCTATCGCCCTTCTGTAGTTTGACTCGTTGTTGTTAGATATCCGTCCCACTATGGTGGTGTTGTCAGAGAACTTGCAGATGGCGTTCATTCGGAATTTGGCAACACCGTTGTGGGTGTACAGGGAGTACAGCAGGGGGCTAAGGACACATCCTTGGTGGTGGTGGGGGTCCAATGTTGAGTGTTATTGTGGAGGAGGTGCAGTTACCTATCCTCACTGATTGTGGCCTTTGGGTCAGGAAGCTGAGGATCCAGTTGCAGAGGGTGGAGCTGAGGTCAAGGTCACGTAATTTTGAGATCGGTCTGGAGGGGATAACGGCGCTGAAGGCGGAACTGGAGTCAACGACCAGGAGTCTGACATCCGTGTCTTTGTTGCCGAGATGTTCTAGGGTTGAGTGCAGGGTGAGGGATATGGTATCCTCTCTGGTCCTGTTACGTCAGTAAGCAAATTGTGGGGGAATCGAGGTAGACTGGGAGAATGGAGTTGATGTGGGTCATGACCAGCCTCTCGAAGCACTTCATGATTATGGAGGTCAGAGCTATTGGGCTGTAGTCATTAAGGCACATTGCATGTGCTTTCATAGGTACGGCGATGATGGTGGTCTTCTTGAAGCAGGTTGGAACTTCAGCTTGTCGAAGGGAGAGGTTGAAGATATTGGTGAATATGTCCGCCAGCTGGTCTGCACAGGATCTGAATACTCGGCCAGGGACACTGTCTGGGCCAGTCACTTTCCTTGGGTTGACTCCCAGGAAGACCTATCTGATGTCTGAAACAGTGAGAGGAAACAGGTGTGTCTGGGGCTGTCGAGGAAGGCATGACCGCTCCACTGCCATTAGGTAGCTGCTTTTGACCGGTATGGACACAATGGGCTGAAGGGCCTTTTACAGTGCTGTAGATCTCCAAGACTGTATGAAGTCAAACAGCTGCATGCCTGTATAATGGGGCACAGGACAACATTTCTCTGTACGAGTGTCTCATGATACTCTGCAACATGAACTGGAATGACATGAAGAATGCCTGCTGTTTCTTAAACTTATGAAAGTCCAGATGTGTGAGTTTGAGCAGAGGCCTCCAAAATAAATTCACATTCCCTAACAATTATTCAGGTGCTGCAAGAGAAAGGCCTCTACCCCTCAGCAAGTTCAGTGCTGCCAAAAATACATTGGTTTGTAACTAATTGTCCAACTGCTATGTCACGTCCCTGCTCTTGACGACAGGAAGATAGAAAAAGGTCTGCAAGACATTTCTGACAGCTTCTTAAAGTGATATAGCATCGAACATCTATTCCTTGTCATCAATCTGCCCTCGATGGTCATTAGCAAATGTGCATCTGTTTTGACTCAAGTGAACAGAGTTAGAATCTTGTCTATGAACATGGATGCAAATATTACAAAGTCTCCAAGAAGGCAATTTGAGATTTCTGCAACCAAACCTGGAAGCCGTATGAAGGACAGAGTTACTCCTATTTGCAGCTGCTTTATTAAGAGCTGTTCGCACCCTTTGTGTGACAAATTCTTTCCAATCAGTTGAGGGAGACTTTTGTTCCATACCAAGCTTCATTGCATGTTTGCATCATACAGGTCACTCCCATTCTCTGCTGTGCCTAGTGAATCCTTTCCAGACAGTCCATTTCTATCATGTCAGAGAGCACCCTAGGGTGCATGTCGTAAGCACATGTGCATACATGTGGCTCTAATCACAATGTAACTCCATTCCTGAAGGGATTTCAGCTCATCCATGGACAACTCAGAGGGAAAGAAGAGGTCAAGAATGCAGGATGCACAAATATACAGAGCCATCTCTCCTCGTACTGCTCTTTTTGAAAGTTTATTGAGTGCCTTTTCAAAAGATTTCAATCAACAGTGAGACATGCAGCTGCCAAGTGTCAGTGAGAGACTCCCAGTGGAATGTAGCTCTTCTGCCAGGAAATGTGCTGTCATGGTCCCACATTCATAAGTGTTGTGCTACCTTCTCACATCACTGTAACTTGCCTGCAAATCACTCTGTGACATCCATCATTCAATAATGTCGAGGTCAACTCCTCTTTCTACTGTCCACAGTGTTACCTAATAGAGATCTTGGTAGCTTTTCAGCTCTGATCAAACAGCAGAAATACTGACATTTACTTTCTGGATGTAACTTTTTAAGAGTTGTTTCTATTCTTGCAATTCCAAGTACCTTTTCATTTGTCAAATTCTTTGTATATGGAATTTTAGTAAGTCTGAATATCCACATCTCAAAGGCCTGTCTTCTGCAAATATTTATACATTGTCCATATTTCTGAAGCATCATGAAAGGAAACAGAATGTAGCAACTTATGATATTTATTTCCTCGCTACAAGCTTGGGATTTTTCTCATTATCAAACCAAATTAAGGATGTTATTTGATTATTGGCACATATGCTAAGATACAGTGAAAAGTATTGCTTTGTGCGCTATCCAGGCAAATCATACCATAAGTACATCAGGGTATTAGAACAGGATGCAAAATATAGTGTCACAGCTACAGGGAAGGTGCAGAGAAAGAGCAACTCTAGCATGTTAGAGGTTTGTTCAAAAGTCTGATAACAGCGGGGGGAGAAGTTGTTTTTTGTATCTGTTGGTACATGTTTTCAAACTTTTGTATCTCCTGCCTAATGGAAGAGGATGCTTCACAATGTTATTCTGGCCGTCCTCTGCCTTCTTCTAACTTCTGTGTCCTATCTGCCGCTTTCAGCTAAATAGATAAATTTACCTACTTGCTCCACTGTAACACTGTCCACTTGTAGCAGGTCAGTAAAAAGCCCAGTAACCACCAATTTGACAGGGTTTAAGCCACAGGGCTAGGAAAGACAAATGAGGTGTTGCTGGACTGACAAGCAACAGGGTCAGTTTCACCCACTACACTATTAGGGCATGACATTTAATATGCAACACAACCAACACGCATAGACAGAGACAGTGGGAGGAAAAGGACATTGAGCAGGAGGGTCCATGGAATAGGAGCAAATGACTGGTCAATGAATACAGAGGAAATGCTGAAGGAGGAGTGGGATCCAGAAGGTGAGGATATCATCTGCTCTGTCAGCAGATATCAAAACAGAAGGAGCCCTCAAGGATTGCCAGACATGCAAGGTTAGCGAATGTGGAAGAATGAGCCACAGAAGGACTGGGAGACAAATAAGTGGATATAAAAAAAGTTTACCCTGTAGGTGCAAAATTCAGTGAAGCCTGGCAAAGACAGGTATCATCAAAATGTGTCACTCTTAAAAAAAGCCTTACATGTAAACTGCAACCATCTGCCAACCTTGGCTGTTAAGGATCAAAAAAGAACGGATCAAAAAAGAACTGATCAAAGGGAGCTGTGGTGTTAGAAAACGCATCATTCCCAATTGTGCTGTGCCTTTACCCACCCCAAACTGACTGCAGCAGTTTAAGGCAGCACTCACTACCACCTTCTCCAGGGCAATTAAAGATGGGCAACAAATGCTGGCCCAACTAGCAACACCCACATTCCCTAATGAATAAAAATCTCTGAAAAATAAGTGGAAACTCAATCACTAAATTCATCCCAACACAAACAGTACTCTACTAGAAAACTTTAAAAAAAAACTGAGGCAAATTCTGGTAGATCAAAGACACAGGGTTCCAACAAAAAGCATCAACAAAATCCCAGCAGGATCATTTCCTTCTTAGACGTTGCATTGTAAAGATAAACTTGGATGCCTTTAGAGTAGTTTTTAATCAGACGCATTGTGATCACAAGCTGCTTAGCTCTGAGTTAATACTTAATAATATTTGTTACGAACAAATGGTGAATGATCAGTGTCTAACTAAACCGAGTGTCTCCAGGACTATG